TATATCAGTGTTGTAAGATTTGCAAAATTTCGATTACAGCGCGTCCGATGAGGAAAAGTGGAACTAAGGCCAAGATTTGCGGAATTTTTCCGTACGTGCCATCGGGCATTCTATAGAATGCTATTATTTCTTAGTTTCAAGAAGCTTGCCGCGCGCGAAGTTCGAACCGCGTGCCACTAAACGCGTTATCTTTTCGGATATGTATACATATGTATCAGGTCAACGGCAAGCAATTATATTAATTTGTAATATTTGTTATCAATTATGTATAACAAATATATAAGAATTATAAATATAGTAAACACAAGTGATATAAATACATTTATATACATTTTGTGGACTCTCGAGACAGTTTTGTGTTGTGATTGATTGTATCTGAAATATTTACGGTCTTTTCAAGAAAATATAAATGTGAAGGGTGATAAGACAATCCGTGAATCAAATAAGAACGTTTAGAAATGCGTTGAATGAATTATAAATGAATAAAATACTCAAATAAGCGGTATTAATGGTATGAAGTCAAAGTGGTTACGTGGATATGTAAGATTTTGTATAATTACATAATAAAAGTAAGAGTTATGGAATTAAATCGAGTACCTAAAAGCAAAGTATGATTCTAAAATATTAATCTGCTGGCATAATAGAAAGGAGTTATTGTGAGATCAAGCAACAAGCAAAACACCAAACATTCTCTCTTTCGATAAGAATAATATGCAAAAACATTATATGTATTTCAATGTACGTCACTATAAATTAATATGAATAAATAAATCTCCCCTTATTTATTGCATTTTTTATGTGTACGTATTTTCCGTGGAGGGATTGGGAAAGTTAATTCCCAGTGCCGGCTGTTCATGATGCTTGGTTAAAAAGAAGCGTTTGATAAGGGAATGAATGATCGTGTAGACTGCTGGATGTGATGATTCTTCGAAAGCCTACAATCAAGCATTCTTAACATTCAAAAACCGGGGCTGATGCATGCTGGAAAAGTGATAAAGTTCAGCGGCTGCAAAATTGTTGACAGGAGTATCTATATTGAGGAATCAAGCCAGATTAAACTACTGGGAAAGACTAGATGACGGCGGTATTCTGCGAGCTTTATATGAAACACCGACCATCTGCGAAAAGTTGGAGGATGTAAATATGGAGGAAAAACAAGAGCGATCACTTTTAGAAATTCATGTAAGATTAACGTAAATGTAGGTTTAAATAAAAAGAATGGCGTTAGGACTAAATAAATACGTGGGCGTTAAAATAGATTAAAATATTCAAAACTCTGGCATTTATTCCGCAAGTTATCGTTAAGACGTCTACACCAAGAGTGACTCTCAGGTCAAACGTTTTAGCTGTCCTAGGACCTACCTTATCGCCAGTATGACCTTTGCGCTGATCTTTATGGCGCCTTGTTCTTAAAGAAGTCTGCGTCGATGGACGTGGTCCCCTCTCCCGCCACTACTGCGTATTTTCTAATTTCTTACATTAAAGAAACCGCAAAACTGATATTGGCTAAAATAAATAATGAACAATATGGCAAAGAATACTCCATGCTGAAGGACGATAAAATCAAAGAACACATTCCGAATAAGCCTTCAGGATATTTAGTCATATATATTGTATACTGTTAGATTGAGCCAGGTATGAAACTGTATACGTATGTATGTATGATATACTCGCGTGATCGAGAGATTCGGCAGCGGAGAGGTACGTGGCAGAACTCTGCTGGCGCCCGAGCAATGAGCATCAATTGTAAATCGTTCCAGTTGTACTCAAGTTCATAATATAGTTATATTAAATACTTGCCTGGCCTACTACTTAAGGCCAACGGAAAACATATTGTATACA